ATATTTTTTTCTATAAAACATGTTTACATTTCACCGTTTTGTGGAGGGGGGCTTCAGTCCGAAAGCCCTCCCCTTGTAAATCCGCCTGTGCCTTAAAGATAAACATACTAACGAGGCGAATCTACAGTCAGTGGGTCACCGATATTAATCAAATTTCCTACAGTCATTTTGAATTGTTATCGATACCATTCGCATGACCGGCGTTCATTCTAATTGGCCCTAGGAGCCGAAAAAAAAATATCTTATATAATTTCATGCACAATTTATGTTGTTTATTTTTGCCTTTGCTTTGTCCGGATATTTAGGTTATTATACATCAATATATATTTATATCTGTTGTGCAGAATAAGAAAAAAATATTCACTGTTGTATTAAATGAGTTTTATATATCATAAATTAGAAAACCAAACGCGCTTCCAGTAAATAAAATAATGCGGAGTTCTCAATGAGGCCCGCGGGCCAAAACATTTGGAGACCGCTGATCTAAGATGTTCAGAATTAAAAATACCTTACCTATTTAAGGTTGTTAATAACGAATCTTGAAATAAAATACTTTTGATATATCTAACGTTTTGTATGAACTTATCATGTTTTTGTATCGATAGATAATGTCGAAATTCATAAAAACGTACGTGGAAGATTAGTTCGTTCAAAAATTTACTTAGTGACTCATATCCTTAATAATATATTTCAAAATAGTATTTTGATTCTTAATCTAGTTTACTTTAACAAGGTCTATTTTAAAACCCTTATGTTCAAATTGCTTTATTTCATTTGAATTCGTATAAACATTGGTTTCAGGCCATATTTTTGAAGTCCATAAAAGCATATCGGTGACATCATAATTCATATAATTCATGTAAAACAAAAAACAAAGTCATGTAAAAAATTGTAATTCATATAGTATGCCTTTAAGGCACCGAGCATGAAGGCGAATCAAATAAACGATCCTTATGTGGGGCTACCTCAAAGGGAAAATATATATATATATATATATATATATATATATATATATATATATATATATATATATATTTTATCTTTTTCTTATACAATTGTTCCTCTGTCTTCTAATTACAACAAAACTTTGTTACAAATAGACAAAAAAAGCTTATGAACTAAAAATAAAATTACGACAATGACTTCGAATTGATTTTAAACTCACGGACGACCAAAAGTTAAAAATATGCTTTTATGAAACGTTGTCAGATCACTATTTTGATAAATATAAAGTAAATTAATTTGAACAAAAAGGGTTTAAAATAGTCCTTGATAAAGTACCTAAATTAAATTGTAGTTATGTCAGGGAGTTTTTGCATTAAACGGAAGATATAGATCAACACTGAATGGATTCGAATCAGTATTGGACCCCGTGTCCTTGATTCAGCAAGTCGAAATTTTTTAATTATATGAGCAGTATAATTAACAATATATTATCAATTTTTTTATATAAATAATCGTCAAATTATATCAATTTGTTTTTTCTTCAGTTGGCAAAAACATTTTACGAAACATCATTTATAAGGTTGTATTTTGATACTATATATATCTTAAAATCCAAAATATCTTACCTTAAAGGTTGTTAATAATTCTTAAAATAAACGATACTGTGGAAAATTTCCTCACGTGTTCCCATCAAATATTATTGCATCAGTAAAATGTCACCAGTAGGGCAGTTATTATTGTCATTACCTTGAAAAAGTAAGTAATAAATGTCTCACTATGAGTCTTCTATGGGCTGATCCATTTACAAACAATAAAACATTCTCCATATTTTCAGAGTCTTTTATAAATGATATATGGCCTTTTTTAGAATATATTTTAATCAAAATTATTTACACGTGCTCAGCCATCCAAATTAAGCTTTCTTTTATGTTATGAAATAATCATGTATAATGACTAATTATAACATAAGTGAAAATCTTGCTAAAAGAGCACGTGTTATTTTAAAATTTAATTTAACGGAGTAATTAATTAGTTTTTATTTAATTTATAATAAAATAATTATATATTTACAGGTCATTTATATACAATTTATATATTGATAGGTCAAAAGTTTAGGTAAAAAGTACAATTAGTGTGAATTGTAAGTGGAAAATGTTGGGATTTTACAAAGGGAAAATCAATCAAATTATTCACTAATTTAATTTTCTAAAAGGTTACTTGATTTTTTTTTCTTTTGTTACCTATGTAAATATATTAAATGTATTTAAGATTATAAATATATCCATCAAATATTTCTATATTTCACTTTTTCTTTCCCACAAGTACAATGAAATAGTAATTTACAATGGCATTGGATTGATTCGGTGGATTTTAAGACCTACTGACTTGCCGATTGCTTCGAACAAATCTTTCTTGCTGATAAAATGGTGTTCACCATAATAAACCTGCATCGTCCACTTAATATCATCCAAACTGCTCCAGTATTTGACACCCTTTTAGCAGCATCTTGAAATATTCTGTTTATCTATCTACTATACATTCGTTTAGCTGTATAATGGATACTGATCCTTCTTTTCTTTTCCGAGATTTCGGCACTTCCTTTCTCGCTCGCTTAATGTATTTTTCTAATTTTTGGGTTCAATTTCGCGTTTTCCCTCATTTTGAGACCAAATACTAACAATCAGTTCCGGTTACCTAGAAGAACTAATAGCTTCGCCCTTTCTATCTTGCTTAGTGCAGAGAGAATAATGCGTTAAATACTAAAATTTCCTATTTTTTTATGATATGGTCCAAATTTCGTACAAAATAAATGAAATAAAAATTAATTTTTTTATTAATGATATACGAGTTTTACAAAACAACCCATCAACTATTCATTATATGTAGTTCATTTTCCATTCCGAGGAAGTATATACAATTTAAATTCCCTCTAAGAATCAGTAAATATACAAAACAAAGTGTTAATTTGCAAACGCTAAATAAAAAATTCAAGATATTCAGCAAAGTATTTTTGAATTAAGTTTTATTGTTATACTTATATTGTTTTTACAATAGAGGCATTCTTGAACGACATCCGTATAGAATAAAGGAAGTTAAATTTAAAAAAAATAATAATAAAAATAAATTGTTTTGGACAATTAAATTATTGCATTAATATTTGTTCGTTGATACAATCAATATAATGTACCAAAAACGTTGTAGTGTAGTTATAGCACTATAACTAAGCCATTTATGAGTACCAAATGGTGTTTTTGAGGCCTGTAGGCACCTACGCCAGAACCGCTTTTCTGCTGTTTAAGTGCATTTTCTACGGAACTGCTTTAAATATTGTAAAAAGTAATTAGTTTTTTAGAAAGAGAAATATATTCTCCAGATGTTTTATTTTAGCACTTTTTGCGTTATTGTTGGTCGTTTAATTACAAACAATTATCTACGTGCTTAAGATTTGTCTTCGGTACATCGAGGCGGCCTCATGTGTCCCACCTTTACGACGAGTTAAAGTGGCTCTTCCCTTCTTTCCGCAGACAATATTTCCTTGGATCTTTTCTATTCCAAACAATCAACACCAGACACCCGTCCGACATCTACAGTCTCCTACAGTTTAAACCCGCGGTCCACCCCCAGAAAACTAGATACCGTATTTCCGACCTTTATACCCTTCCCATAGAACTAAGACGTTTGAATATTCCTTTATTACCCGATCCACAGCCTTCTGGAATTCCTTGCCATCGGAAATCCGCCATGCGTCTTCCTTGTCCTCATTTATATATCATCTCTACCAATTTTTTCTCACATCCCAAAATGACGTTATACAATAAAATACAATAAAATAAATATTGTGAAACAGATTTTGACTGAGGTGAATGGTTGATAATATTAATTGAGTTTTAATTTAAAAAATCAACCCATGCTTAATTTATTTTGTTTTCTTTTCATTTAAATAATTTTTTTTTTTTATATTTCGTTTTCTCTCAAAATTTTATTTTATTTTTACTTGTTGTAATTTAATTTCACTGAAGATGCTGTATATATTCTTTAATATTGATTAATGTAATTTTTGGCCAGATGTAGTTTTTATTTATTTTTTTTTTGTTCATATCTGTTATTCATAAGGGACCTGGTCCCAGAATAAAGTTTACTTTCTATTCTATTCTAAAAAACAACACTTGATTTTCATCTTGAAAATAATTATGTTAAAAAAATTGACTTTACTGGTGTTTTTTATTGCTTAAGCCAATTATTTTTAAATATTTTTTCATGTTTTATTATTCTCTGACTATTCAGATTTAATAAAAGACCAACTATGACGAAATTAAGCCAAATGCTGATTCTCAGTGACCAAAAAAAACTAACTAAATTGAAAGTCGTCAGTCCGCCATGTTTGGACGCTATTTTGGGGCAGTGAGTTCACTTTTTTTTTAATTAATAGTTACAAGGAACAAAACGATATGCAATTTTTAGGGATGTGGGGGGGGGGGAGGGGATGTTCACGGTAGGGATGTCTGGCCCACAGACTATATCTTCTGACTATTACTTCCGAAGATTCATTTTCGAACTGAATAAGTATTTATCCAGTTTTATTTATTTTTTAGGCGTATACCTACCTTAAATACATAAAATCAGTTTTGTATGACTTTTCTTTTTGAGCTAGACTTTTCAGTTTGAGCTGAGAGTAGCTGTTTGAGCTAGACACACAGACCATTATGCGGGACTTGGTTATTTGGACTCAAAGGACCTCAAAACGTGTATTTCCGTTGAAAAACCAGATTCAAAAATGTTCACGATCACAATACTATCCCTTACTCTATATTAAGTATATTGGTAAGTGAAAGTAAAAATATAAATAATAAATAAATCACCCAAATCTGAAATTAATGAAATAATTTCTTATTCTAGAAAAATAATTACTATAATGTTTAATTATTGTAAATATATATATGTAGCAAATATTGATTTAATATATACAACTTTTTTCCTGAATGTGAATTTATTCAAACCTTTCACAATATCAAATTGAGGCTTTTCATTCCTTTAGAGGCTTTTCATTCCTTTAGAGGCCGCTTCATTCCTTTAGAGCGCTTTTGGTTTTCACTGGGAGCTGTAACGTAAACAATGTCATTTTAGACTTAGGTTTCGTCCTGAAGTGATTCCACAGTGTCACTATAACTAAAATAGCTGAAACCATTCAAGAATTTATAGTCTGAGTTTTACATAATATTCATTTCCATTACTTTTTAAATTTGTTTTCGGAAGAAGCCCCATTTCAAATTAGGTCGGCCTCAAAAAGTAAGGGATAATTAACAAATACTCTTAAAAGATTAGAATAAATTAAAATTAATTTTATGAAATTCTGTCAAGAAAGTTATACTAACAAGAGTTCATCAGACCTCCTGATATAATTTATTCCTTCCCGTTATAGAAAACTGGAGGAAAAGTATAGAAACAAAAAAAACTGAACGAAAATGGAAAAGATTCAAGAGAAATAATATAAACAATTTTGTGACTAAAAATTTATGCTGGGATATTGTTTTCAGGTTACCACTAGTGGATCCAGGATTTTATTTTGGGGGGGAGAGGGCTTCAGCCCCAAAGCTTTTTTTTTTCATAAATATGACGATATTTACTTTGGAAAAAAAGAAAGAAACTAGCTGTCTATATGAAATGGTGTTTAAGTGATTCATTAAGTCCTTTTAAATGTAATTACACGAACAACAAAACTTTAAGAGATAATTTTTTAATATTTTTTCCATAAAACAAGGTTATATTTTACCAATTTGGAGGGGGGGGGGCTTCAGCCCGAAAGTCCTCCCCCCGTAGGTCCGCCCGTGCAGGTCACTACCATTAATGATGACCTAAATCGGCCTTGGTCTTGCAAAGTAAAGTCTTTTACAACCTTCTTCGTCTTACTATCATCCCATGTTTTGACTAACATCATTGCCTACACTGACCAAGCTACAAACATGTATCTAGTTTACTAGCTAATTAAAAAAATATATAATTTTTTATTACATACATGTAACTTTATATATTTATATTTTATTATAACAGGTCGTTATGGGTTAGGTAAATAAATTACATTGGTATGTACTGTGAATATTTATACAATATTTATTTTACGTGAAATATCTATAATTCAAATACTCACATACATTGCGTTATTTTGCATGAAACACTTATTATTTAACATAAACCTAATTAATTCTATAAACACAATATTTTTTAATATTATTGCTCTAACTCATCAATTGCTATTTACATCAACTATTTTATGTTAAATAATAATTGTTTCGTGCAAAATAATTAATGTAAGTATTTGGATTATAGGTATTTCACGTAAAATAAATATTGTAAAAATATTCGCGGTACATAGCAATATAATGTTTAAAATCCACGTCTTGTGGTTTGTATTGTAAACATTACATTCTTTAGATATTGTATAATTTATTATCTATTTCATAACAAGCTATTATATATATATATATTAAATTACATGTATGTAATAAGGCAAAAATATTATTTGTTTTGAATTAGCTATTAAATTTGTAATATTTTTGTAATTTTGTCAGTATAGACAATTCAATATAAGTATACTAATTCTATATTGAGATATATTACAATCTGTCACATTCAAGGACAATGGTAATAGTGATAAATAGTAGCTCATTCATATTATGCACAATAACTGAAAGTAATAAACAGCAATAAAACAATACTAAACGTAAATGTATATGAACTAAAAGATACTAAACTAAACAAAAATAAACTTATCTATAAAATAAACTAATGTGGGCTTTCCCCACACTCGTGGAGGGAAAGGCAGAACTGTAGGAGATCCCAGCGTCTTTCACTCAGCCACATCAATGGTATTATCAATGGAAGCTGAGCAGAGACACTATGACCAAACATGCATGGCTTGAGTGGAGAATCTGGACATTACCAGAACTCCAATATATTCTTACAAGTCTCTGGGCCATTGCCGCTTCAACCTCCGAGGAGGATTGTAAGGATGGGTGGTGCTGGATAGAGATTGTGCAAGGGGATTTGGAGGATAGGTAAGATTCTGGTGAAATTTGGACAATTTTTCTGGGATAAGGTCTAGGACAAATGGGATATTGAGATCATGGTGTAGGGTTTTATTAGTTACATATAACGGAGCATCAACTATTGTTCGAAGGACTTTAGATTAAAAGGATTGGATGCGTTTGATGTTAGAAAATTTTGCTGTCCCCCACAGTTCCAGTCCGTAGGTCCAAATAGGTTTCAGTATTGTCTTGTAGATCAGTAGCTTGTTTTCAATGGAAAGTTTAGATTTTTTGTTTAGTAGTCTGTATCGGTTGAGTTCTTGTGTATAGACAATTAGATATTAGTTAGTCAAAACCTGGGTTGATAATAACTCGAACACGCTAGTAAAAAGAAATTGAATAAATAAAAAGTAATGTCAGTCACTCTAAATTCAATGATCCCGCGAGTTAAATCCTCAATAACTACCGAGGTGATAGGTTGAGGCAAGGTCTGAAAACTTTGCTACAGAAAAACTTTACTGGAAGAATAATTCACTGATTATTAATGTGATAATTAAGTTTAAAATTACTGATTATGAAAGGGAAACAATATCAGTTTGTCACTAATGCAGTAAAACTTCCAAATTGTAACTTTTGTTTTTTTCTTCCGTTGTCCAAACGCAGCGTTAGCTCGTCCCGGTGTGCGGTCTCTAGAAATTAACCTTGACACTCCCACAATGGCACTAGCGGATCCAGGACTTATTTTTGGAGTGGCTTCTACTCGAAAGATTTTTTTTTTATAAATATATGATAATTACTTTGGAAGAAAAAGAATGAAACTAACTACCTATAAGAAATAGTAATTTAAGTTATTCTTTCGAGCTATGGAGCTCCACCAACCAAACCTTCAAATTCCTATCGTATCCGATCCTTACAATCCAAAATCCTTCCTAAAATCCTCAATGCTCTTTACTTTGCTACAAATAAAATCATCCACAATGACGTTAATGTTCCTTATATACCAGATTTGGTCCAATCCAGATATCTTTCCTTCCATAATAAACTTCATAACCATCCGGACCCTCTTGTTTCTAACCTTTCTTCCTATTCATTTCCTGATAACCCTCCGAGGCGTCTGAAAAGAAGATGGCCAATATAGACATATTATAAGAGTGTTACCAATGGGTAGTTTCTCAACATGTGTTTCATGTCATTATATCCATGTGCGAATTTACTAGATGTATTTTTTTGTATGGAGTTGTAAATATCATATAAATAAAAAAAAAATAGTTATTCTTTAAGTCCTATTAAATGTAATTACACGAACAATAATACTTTTAGAGATAATGTTTTAATTTTTATAAGATATGGTTATATTTTACCATTTTGGGGGGCTTCAGTCCGAATCCCCTTCCTCCCCCCTTAATCCGCCTGTGCACAATGGTTAGAACGGGGCGGCAACCTCTAGGTAGCTGTCAGGGGTTGGCAAGGCAAAAGGCAAAAGGGCCACTAAGCCCACTTGCCGGACTAGTTTCCTCTACCAGTGCCAATACTACTAATTATATAAATGTAACAGGAGTGCCCAATCTTTTTATAACTTTGAGGCTTGCGCATAATTGTAAACCTCCCCATTTTATCTCTACCACCTTTTCAATAATTCTTTGGCACCTGTACATAGTATGTTTTTTTTTTTTGTTTTTTTTGTCTTAATGATATTTACAACTGTATTAAAGAAATACATTTAGTAAATTTGAACATATGGATGTAATGACGTGAAAACACTTGTTGAATAACTACCCAACGGTGACACTCTAATAATATGTCTACATTAGGAGATCACGGGGACCATCTTCTTTTCAGAAGCTTCGGACTGTTATCAGGAATTAAAGAGGAAGGTTAGAAACGAGAGGGTTGGGATGATTCTGAAGTTTATTATGGAAGGATAGGTATCTGTATTGGGACAGATCTGAAACATAAGAAACATTAAGGTCATTATGGATGGTTTTATTTGTAACAAAGTAGGGAGCATTGAGGATTTTACGAAGGATTTTGGATTGTAAGGATTGGATACGAGAGGAATTCGATGGTTTAGCTCAACTCCGTAAGTCCAAATAGCCCTTATTATTGTCATGTATATGAGTCTTTTTGAATTAATTGGAAGTTCAGAGCATTTGTCTAGTAAGTGCTGAAGTAATCGCAAACGTCGAGTGGTTTCTTGTCGTTTCAGTCTGGTATGAGAATTCCAAGCTAAACGTCTGTCCAGGTGGAGTCCTAAGTAGGAGATTTGTTCAACAGGGATAAGTGGGGTATTTTTAATGAAAACTGTATAACAGGAAGTCATAGGTTTACGATGAATGCATAGTATGTTTAGTGCAAAATCACACTTTTGGAAAAACGGAATTCAGTTCAGTTTTCGAGTTTCAATCCATAGTTCTCATATGAATGTTCATCTTGTAATAGTCGTATAACTTAGCACATTAGACACAAAGAAAGAGAGAGAAATTAGCTTTCTGGTGATAGCCATAAAACATTTAAAAAATAGCACTTAACACACTTTTCACAGCTGCCACAGGATTATTTGTATAAAATTGTATTTGTAATTGTATTTGCATAACTTAGCCCATTAGACGAAAAGAAAGAGAGAAAAAATAGCTTTCTGGTGATAGCCATAAAACATAAAAAAAAAAGAGCACTTGACGCACTTTTCACAGGTGCCACAGGATTATTTGTATAAAATTTTGTTCCTATGAAATATTTTTCTCCTTCTGTAAATTTTGAGAATATACGTAAATAATAAAAATAATAAACACCTATTGTTTCTATTATAATAAGTAATATGTTTAATATAAAAAATTGAAAATTTGTTATTTTTACAACTATGTCAAACACGCCGAGTCTAAAATAATCTTCCATCCTAAAAAGAGAACTTGATTTTTTTTTTTTGTTTCATAACGACACACAGCAATAGCAAAACGACATATCTTGATTGATTTCCTTTATTTGTTAAAGAACATTTCTTATACAATTAATTCAAAAATATTCACAACATATGTCTTCATGTGAGTCGTTTCCCGCACTTCATAATAAAGCTTACATT